AATGTTGCTACTGTTATGAATCGTAATGTAAATATCTGATATGCAGGATGATCTTAGACGACCCCTGTGAAAGGGTTGTTCGACCCACAGGTTGAGAACCGCTGCTTAGTAAGCACTCAGATCCTGGTTTCTAAATACCAATATCTTATAGTAAGAATTAGGGCTCCTTGATCCGAGGGCTCAGGTAGGGAAAATACAAGATGATGCGTCCTTATTTTGGGGGAAAATAAGGAAGAACTCAAAAAAAAAAAAGGAATTGAGACATGTTCAAAGGTCATAGGAACCAACATGAAATATTTTCTAATGGTTGTTTGAAACTAAATAAAAATGATATTGATTGGATAATAACTCAGAATAAAATAAATATTTATGATTCTACACTGACATAGATAAACAATAAATAAATGGAGAGACATATTAAATGCAATGTGATATCTTGGGTCCTGGAACAGACTGTGTCGATAAAAATTATATATATACATATTACAATCTGAATAATCTCTGTAGTTTAGTTAATACTATAATTAGGCCAAATTTGACAATTAGCAGAAATTGTGCGAATGGTATCAGGGGACTATCTGAAATATTTTTAAAACTTTACTAAAATTCTAAAATACAATTAAAAGACATACTTCATCACTCAAAAGAGTGTGACCGTACGTATTTTTTTAGGATTGCACATTTAATTTTTTAAAAATCTAATAAATCTAACAAAACATATGGTTGACATGTTACAAAATTGTACTCCTCAAAAATTACTGGAGTCCTAACACACATATATTACAATTAACTGGGCTAGTGACGGAAAAAGTAGGGGTTATTTCAAAACTTAATATAACTCTACAATGTGAATATTGGTGGACTATGCCAAGGGAAAATGGGTATTGGAGATAGAAAATGTATAACATGAGAGCAATTTGGAGGCCAGTAAGATGAGGACATATTTAGGAACAGTAGTTAAAATTATTAGGCCAGAACATGTAAAAGCTAGTTGGAAAAAAAAAAGAAAGAGTTCCTCTATGGGAAATCAAAAACACAAAGGAAAAAGCCATCCTACACTAAATAAACATAAAGTGTAACTCCTAGTAAAAAAATGTGCACTTGTAGATGTGATTTATAATAGGAGATAGGAGTCAAGTGTGAGGTTTTAAGATACATTAAAGTCTTTTATTGGATAAGTAATCATTATCTTCCAGTTCCAGAAGGCTTTGCTTCATGGGGTGATTTATTTATTTTTTCCAAAGCATCCTAAATCAACCCTAGCACTAATACTCTGAATATGATATTATCTACATTTTATAGATTAGGATGAAACTTGTAAATTACTAATTTTCCATCCTGCAGCCAGCTGGTAAAAGAGCCAGAACTAAAATCACCTGTTTCCTTATTCAATAGTCTCTTCACTATATTATGATTCTGTCTGTTTGTTATATTATAACCTAGTAACAGTCCACAGTTTTAGAGAATAAGAGCAAGACATAATCTATATATATAAACAGGTAATATGCAAATTAGCCAGGCATCACGACCGGCTCAGGAAGAGGCTACATGCACAGATGGGCGGGAGGGGACTGCGTGCTGCCCCCAGCGGAGGAGGCTACATGCACAGATGGGCAGGAGGGGACTGCGTGCTGGCCCCAGCCCCAGCGGACACACACCAGGGGTGGAGGTGTGCTCCGAGCGGCCAAGGCACAGCTCAGAGCATGCCCCCACCCCAGCGGACATACACCAGCGGTGGGGGCATGTTCCTAGGGGCTGTGGGTGGCGGCAGCAGCCGGAGCAAAGCAGCCTTGATCCCAGATGCCTGGCAACAGCTGGAGTGAAGCAGCCTGGGTCCCGGGTGCCTGGCAGCAGCCAGAGCCAGAGGGAAGCCAGTGCCAGCAGCCAGGGGAAGGAAGGCCTATTCTTGCACGAATCTTCGTGCATCAGGCCTCTAGTATTTTATAATGCTAGAAGTTAAAAACTGAAAAGAACTGTAGAGATGAGTTAGTCTAACTGCAAAACGCCATAGCTCAGAGAGTAAGAACCAGTCTAAAGGTATTTAGTGAGTTACCATCATTGGTGACCAGACACACATTTCTTAGCTTCTGACTCCTACTATATATGTGGAGTGATTTATTATTCTTAAAGCTTATATAAAAGAAAAATGGAGATAAAATGAAGACATTTCATTAATGAGCATAATGAAAAAAGCTCAATTTACAAAAAAAAAAGTGATTGCTATAACATTGTGTTGTTTTGTGTGTTTTTTTTTCCAGAGAAAAATATTCACATTAAGTTATCCTAATCTATCTCATCCTCTAAATTTGTAAATGGTTATCTCAGCTCTTATGGTCACATCGAAGTAATTAACATCCACAAATAAAGACATTGTTAATTATATTATAGATTCTAACTTGAAAAGAAGATAGGAGAAAACGGAGCACACATTGAGGCAGTAGTCATTACAGCGAGTCCAACCAACATGACTCAAGAAGAATATTTTAACCATATCCTCCTCATTAATCAGAAGAACAAGCCTGAACTAACTTAGCATAGGACAGCTATATACCATCCACAGAATCAGTGAAACATTTGACAAGGAAGAGAACAGATTGGCACAGTAATTTGATCTGTGTTTCAAGGGCTGAACTGTACTTTTGCTGCTAAATAGTGAAGACATAAATCATTGAAGCAGGTCCCTGTGAACAATGGGATGGGAGATGTGGGACACTTACTCTCCCTTTTCTCCTCTTCTTCCTTCATCTCCTTATCCTTTATTTTTTCTAGCACCTCTTCTGTCTTCCTTCTTGCCACAATCCCAGGTCTTGGATATTTCTCACAAGCTGCTGTTAGCCAGATACTGAGAAAGACCTCTCACGAATTCCAGTAACCTTCACAGTGCCATCATCTAATGCCCACTGATGAGAAGTTCAAAAAGAATGGCATGAACATTAATAACTAAGCAAGCTACTGTAACAATAAGATAAACCCATGCAGCATCTGTCTCATGGAAACATAAATATATATTGAAAGATGACAGTCACCTTGCAGGTAACTGTTTAGTTATTGTGCAGACTAAACACAATAACTAAAGCAGACTTAGAAAGTTGTTTACATTCCCCCATCATACCTCTTTAAAAACATATAGTTCTTAGGAAATATTGGAGACAACTAGAGAATTTTCAGTTTCTTCAAATTTTGAACTTGGTCCTGCATGGATTCATTGAGATCATCATTACTACCCCGACCTTATGATTCAAGCAACATTTGTCATAGAATAACACTAAAAATGTGTTAATTAAATAGAAAAGGAGAATAATTTCTCATTAGTGAACTTATTATAGCATCTTCTAAATGAGGAATAATGGAACTAAAGAAACACTATGGTTAATCTTAATGTGTTTTTCTCAAAAATGATTACAACAAATAGCTACATAAAACAAGTCTTGCCCAATAAGAGGCTAAACAGCCCAGTTAACTGTCTTTATCCTTTATTTGCTCTGTTTGGGATATTGTGGACACTGTGAGGAACAAAATAAATGCACTGATATCCAAAGAAAATACTAATAATTAACAATAATAAAAATAATGTATTATACATATAACCGAAAAAACTACATCCACATTACTATTTTTTTAAGAAGTCATTGTGAAAAATCATGTTATTGCTCAAAATACCTACACAGTTTTTATTTGGAAACTAATAAGCTATACAACTAGAGCAATGTCAGATAGTAGAAAGTATAGAAGCAGAGACTGAACTGAACCATTACAATACTAATGATAAT